TGTCACCTGACCTGGTGAGTGTCGGATTCGGTTCGACAAAGGAACCAGAATCGGTGTAACAGGCCTAGGAGAATGCGCGCTGTCTGCTCGGGCATTACGCAGCCCCTGTGGTGCCTGACTGGCGTAGGGTGCTGAACTGCGACAGACATCACCCTCTCTACCCGCTATCACACCCACTTGTTACCGACGCGCGTATAAGTGAGTCAGGTTAATTTAGGTATTTTTGCAACCGACAAGTAGTAACAAGCATGAGTGACAGTGGACTGGTTGCCATCTCCTGCGTATCGTTCACCGCATCTTTACTCACTCCTGTCACTGGTTCCCGAGGGGTTTTCACAGAATAAGTAAGGCCAATGCTAGTGAATCCTTTCTTGTGACAGGTAAATCGATTTGTGAACCACCACCACCACCATCATCATCATCATCTCTCTCGCTCTTGACAACAAAAGCATATGCATCCCTAGGCCACGTTCTACTGACCTCCCGCACCCTACACAGAGAGAACCGGGGCTTACTCGAGTCCTTGTTCTACTACATGCGTTGGCAGCCGTCTCTGTCAATAGAAGCGAAGAGACGAGTCCCAGGAAGCAGTCGTGAAAAAGGCCTTGTCCCAGCGACTGTGTCTCCCTCTTCACAGCCGTCCCTATGTCTATGACGCCCTCGCAGTAACGACACAGCTTACGCCCTCGTAAGCAAAGGGGGCCAGAAAGTGTGCCCCAAAACAAGGCTTGCTTTCAGGTTAATTTAGGTATTTTTCAGCGGACAAGTAGCAAAAAGCATGAGTGGCAATCAGCAGCGGACTGGTTCCCATCTCCTACGCGTCGTTTACCGCATCTTTACTTACTCCTGCCGCTGAATCGCGAAGGGTTTTCGCAGAGTAAGTAAGGCAGATGCTACAGAATCCTTTCTTGTGGCAGGTCAGTTGATATGCGAACCACCACCACCACCACTACCACCACCACCACCACCGCCATCATCATCACCATCATCATCACCATCATCATCATCATCATCATCATCATCATCATCATCATCATCATCATCATCATCATCATCATCATCATCATCACCATCATCATCATCACCATCATCATCATCACCATCATCATCTTCCTCGCTTTTGGCAACAAAAACGGATGCGTCCCTAGGCCACGCTCTACTGACCTCCCTCACCCTACACACAGATAACCAGGGCTAACTCGGGTTGTCGTTTTACTACATGCGTTGGCAGCCCTCTCTGTGTCTATGACGTCCTCGCATTAGCGACACAGCTTACGCCCTCGTAAGCAAAGGGGGCCAGAAAGTGCGCCCCAAAACAAGGCTTGCTTCCTGATCCGCTAACGGCAGCTGACAGAGTGCCAAATTATCGCAGTCTAGATGCAGTCAACGCCTGGGCCTAAACTCCTTCCACCGGAGTGACTCTGCTCACTTTGTTTGCCGGAAAGAAGGACAGTTCTACTTGATGGCCACCTCACCAGGCCTGGGATGGGTACCAGCGAGGGTCGCCTTCCGTGAATCGACTGACCGAGCAGAGAAGAATCACCTGATCCACAGAAGGGACATAATCAGGGCACTAATGTGCGGCTAAGCTGAAATAACCACTGGCTCATCTCACTGCTGCCCCCAGTCGTTCGCGGGGAAGAATTTCACTAATAACAATAGCGCGCACTCCACCACAACAACTGGCTGCAAGGACGACCCAGAAGACCATCTTTTTAATTGGGACCCTTAGTAAGTCATTCAGTCTCCGATGTAAGCGGACAGACTTTTCACACTTGGAGACTGCCATAGGTTCGACGTTAGAAATTTGAGAAGAGCGCGGATCCCCTCAAAGAAAGGAACACCAATAACGCAAGTAACAAATCCGTGGTTGTGTCGAGGTGTGATGGTCTACAAATGAAGGTTTCCAAAATTAAGAGTCAGGACAGTTGGTTAAACGACCTTTACTGCGGCGAGAGAGCGTACACGCCGCTCCGCAGACAGAGACGAGAATTGCTCTCCCCAGTCGTTTCTTAGAGTTTTTAGGTTGTTGGCCCCAGCGCAGAGTGCATGCGCCTGAGCTTTGCCCGGTTGCGGCCAATCGATGAAGACGGAAGTACCAATCGGCATTGCGGTGTCGACAAGCCGAATGCTGAGTCACACGTGTGTAAGCAGTGATTGGCTGGCGTGTTAGGCAGACCGAAGGCGGTATGGTCAAGCGGAGAGGGAGCTGACTGACACAGTTGCCTTCCAAAGGCTAGACCGAGCATCCTCCACTTATTCGGAGGCAGAATCTTGAGTACAACTATGAAGTCGGCTTCGGGAAAGGAACGTTCTAGAGTGGGGATCTGTCTTCCGGACATGAAAGCAAACTAAATCAATTTTGACTCGAGGGTTATAAAATCTGCCGAGAAGAAATGGGACTCAGTGACAGAATTCATCTGACCTACTGTTGTCATGGTCGTTGTCGACACACCTCGGCATCGCGGCAACGATAATGAGATCCAGCCTCGAAGGTCCTACCATAGCCTTCTCGGAAAAACCACAACAACAACAACAACAGGTCCGCCGTAAGTAAACCCATATCCACTGTAAGTTATAATAACTACGGTAAGTGTCACTGACAAGCAGATTAGGGACTGAAATAGCCCCCTCATCAACCAGTATACTTCAGCCTCTGACTGGGAAGGTCTAAGTTCTTTGGTTATTGTGCCATCTGGTCCGCAGGTGAGACACGGACTCGCGTCCCGGATGCCAATTCCACTCTCCCTCTTACTGTTTGCGGTGAGACCCACTGTGCAGGCCAGAGTAAGACTGCCGACTGCCTCAGCTGTTTCAGCCAGACACAGCGGGGCCTGGGCAACTTCACTGCACAAACTGCGAGCTGACCTTCAAGGTGGAAGGGACACCCATCAAACACCAGCTAGCACGAACTTTAAATCCCACAGAAGCAATATAATCACAGCCACCGTTCACGGCCTCGCATACGCGGAAAGGCAGTATGCTTGACAGGAAGAACAACACCGACGTTAGACTCGAAGGCTGGTTCTCCAGAAATGGTCAGTATGGAACCACCGTCACGCTCACCCTAGCTCCAAGCTGAAGATACACAAGTACCCGGAAGGTGCTACTGCATAGTCGAAGTCCACGGTCTGCTTTGCCACGCCTAGTTAAGAAAGCAGCACTACTTGAGGCCTGTTCTGGTCGGAAGGGCTCTCAAAACCGAGGTGACAGGAGAGGATCGGCGGTTGGTGTGTTCAGCATTTGTGAATTATGGAAGCAGCCCAGGCGGAAATACTCTGTCAGCTCTCTGGTGCTTGTGTGAGGAAAGAGAGAGAGAGGGAGAGGCCGACATTCTCATGCGTCCAGGTATACTGGTAATACTTCTTTAACGATGCAGGAAGAGGAGGAGGAGGAGGAGGAGGAGGAGGAGGAGGATGGTACGAAGGAACAATGCGTCAGATCATCAGTTGATTAGCAGAAAGCGGAGCAGACAGAATCTATTTTTCTGCCCATAAGTGATTCATTGTAAGGAGACCAGGAAAGATTAGGTGATAGGTACTGTCGAAGTCGTGTGGTCGACAAGATAAAGATCCCCAATCAAAAGTCAGGTAAGGCGGTTTGAGTTGGACAACCTTTACTGCCTGAGGAGGTGCGTACACAAGGGCTCTGTAGGCAGTCGTCGCGAGCGCGCTCCAAGCAAGCTGTTGTCTGTGTCCGCCTTCGAGGTGTTGTGAGCGCGTGTGTGCGCCCTTTGTTGTCTCCACGTCCGCCAACCAATCAGAGTGGGGACAGCGTTGATTGGCTTTGAGCACTCGCGCGTCTCAGCAGCGTATCGACACGGTGTGAGGCGGACAGGAGGGCAGAGTGACAAAGGCGGAGAGCGAGGAGACGCGAACTGCCACAGTACCACCAGGCTGTCGGAAGATGTGATTTATGCAAAAGGGGGTTCCGACGAAGACAAGGGAGACTGGAGTGGTTATTTCTGGCTTAGTAGCCATAACCAGCCCAATGTATCCAACCTCAAGGTTGCGGAACCTGGGATTCTAATCCCAGATACTTGGTCATTCGGTCGAGCGCTCCTCCGCTGAACCACGGACCCGCTGTCCTGTCAGTTGTGACCAGGTATTTTGATTATTGTAGGGAAGGCGTTAGCCGGTCGGGCTACAGACCTGCTTGTCCAGTTTTCCCTTGCAGACACTCGTAAAGCGACCACTAATATATGCCGAAGGAGGTTCCAACAAAGACAAGGGAGACTGGAATGGTCATTTCTGGCTTAGTAGCTGCCAGCAGTCAGTCATACCCGATCGCACCCGACAGAACGACCGACACGTGGTTCAGTGGTAGAGCGTTCAGCTCAGGAAACAAAGGTTCCGAGTTCGGATCCAAGGTACCCCAAACCTGGGGTTCGATATGGCTGTCTGATGGCGGCAAATAGGCCAGAAACAGCCATTCCACTCTCCCTGGCCTTTTTCGAATTATCCCCCCCCCCTTAGCACATATTACTGGTTGTTCTGCGACTTCCTGCGAGGGCTCTACACCAACCCTCAAGACACACGGGGACGATCAAGTTCCGCAAACTGATTGGTGAACGCCCTTTCTGTGAAAAATGAAATTTAATCTGTATGAAGGTCAAGTGACAAAACGGTCAGAAAATGAATGCGCTCTAAAGCCTTTTGTATTACAGGTGATCCGAAGGACCATCTTAAGGAGGGGGAGGGGTGCAGCTATGAGCCAGAGTAACCCAAATCCCGGCTGCATAAACCTAAGGGCTTGTAGAAAGTTGTAGTGTCAGTGGTAGTTCGACCGTCGTTGCCGAAGATGTCTACCATGTGTTTCACAGCAGGGTGAGAGCAGGCACGGTGACCGGCGCATGGGTCTATAGTGAGTATGGACTTGCGCAGCACCTATTACACCCTCTCCTCATCCGCCTTGGCCCGGTATCAAAATACATTCAAAAAGAATGGCGGCGGGAGAAGGCGCAGGTGACTGGCGCGGCCGGACCCGCACCTAGGCGTACCAACACACCTCCGGATTCGCAATATACATTTGATCAAGATTTTAACCAACAAAAAGGAAGGAGGAGGACTGGGCAACTATGCCCACAACCTGCATACCCAGCATGAACGCAAACGCATCTACCGGCAGGGAACGAGGTGCCATAGAACTGCCAGTGCCCACCAGGCTGCGTGGACCATGGTTTGCTAAATCATGGCATAGCAGGCGCATGCAATCCCTAAAGCCCTGAAGAGTGGCATGCAGCTTGGCTTACCTAGATAGTATCAGACTCAGATCCCACATGCAGCAGAGCAGGCACATGAAGAAAGAGTTGAGAAGCCCACATCCCACCTGCGTGGGAGGTGGCAATTGAGTGCTTGCGTTGTGAGGCGATGGGTGATGTTGATGTGTGGTGTAGGTACTGGTGGGGAAGAGGTGTGAGTGTGGTATGGCGGGCGGTTGTCTACCGCAGGGTTTCATAAATACGCGTGTGTCCTAGTAGGTCTACGCGGTGGCTGAATGTCGGAGGGTAGTGAGAGCAGTTAAGGCGGATTCGGTGAGTGCATGTTAATGCTCCAGGTACTGGTTTGCCAGTCTCTAGGCGATGGAGTCGCAGGCGAACGACCAGGCCGATGTGTGAGGGGAATGCGCAACCGCAGGGGGACAGGTATGAACAGAATCCACATCACTGGCATTGGCAGTGGTGAGGTTGCTATTTGACGGTGCGTCAGGACTGTGTGCGGTCGTGTAGGGGGCAGGGGCCACCGCAGCAGAAATCGGGGCAGGGAAGATGATGGAGGATGGTGATGAGGGATCGAGAGCACGGTTATAGATGATTATCAGCGTAGGGGACGGGGCAGAGGTGGACGAGGATGCATCAGGTGGTGTCGTCGGGTGCTGCAGTTAGTTCGAAGACGTCCAGTAAGACCGATTTGTGCCCGGAACGTTCGCTGACACCGAGGGCTCGTTGGGGACGGTGGAGTGTTGGCGGAGGCAGTTGTGATTTTCGAGCTTCGCGTTTGGCTTTGGCGGTGGTCACGCTATTGGCTTCGTAGATGGCCGCACCTGTCTTCACTGTCTTCCTCCAGGCCAGTCCGTTCCGGGCGAGTTCTTCCCAGTTTGCCGGGTTAATTTGCAGGTGCTTTAAGAAAGTCTTCAGAATGTCCTTGTAGCGTCGTTTTGGTCCTACCGATCGGTGGGCACCCGTAATGAACCCTAATTTGCCCCCGGTCTGGTACTACTTATGTTCAGTTGCACAAGCGCGCACATCTGCTGCTACCCTGCTCATGTAACGTCCCACGAACCCTACTGGGCTGTTTGAATGAAGTGTGCTCTTTCCGCACGGATCTGGGATGGTGATGGTGTCCGCGAAAATAGCCGCTGCACTTCCCTCTCTACTGCTGACCCCCATCCTGCAACTTGCTGCAACCCTCGGCAACGATAGGGTGTAGGACCCCCAACTAACTTGAGCTAGCCTGTGGACCGTGTCATACGTTGAATGGTGGTAGAGGGTGTTCTACGGCGGGGCAAAACACAGGACGGAGAGCTAGAAGACACAGAAAATAGATAGATTTCCCCCGAAAGTCCCATCGTACGCTGTCATTTGGTAAGAAAAGTGAGCGCGATGACTCAAAATTAAGCAAAAAGCAATTTTCAAAAAAATAACAGAACTTCAGTAAAGCGCCGCTGGTAAGTTAACACTTAGTCAGGAAGGGAAGGAACTTTCAAACAATGGGAATGGAAAATAATAAGTGAGGTTTACCGTCGCACTGAATTTTAGGTTATATTTTTTGGAGTCGCCATCTATATGGGGGCCCTAGATTCTATCGTTACCCAATTCACTTCTCTCTTTCTCTACATCGGAACCTTCCACGGCTCTGCGTTCCAGACAGATCATCGCTCTGTCGTAACCCATCCACTTTGTGCATTTAACTATTACGCTCCATATACTCAGTTTTCTTCTGTCTCCACTACACACTTATGGCCACAGAATTCTTCTTCAACCCTTTCGCCTGGATGAGTTAAGTGACGCGTTTAATTACTCTCATGAGCTCGGTCTCCACCAGGACTTACACCCAGTGCTTCACGCCCCCTTGGTCGCTATACATGGACTCGCCGTCTGTCTGACACCAGGCGGTCTCCCTCCTGTCCACACGAGTGGGAGTAACCACTGTGACTGGCAGTGGTGGCCCCCTAGAGCCAGCCGCATCTCGCTGGATGCTTATCGGGGCATGAGTCATCGCAGAAGTTAGTACTGCTTTCTGCCTTGTTGCTTCCGCCAACACAGACTTATAAATCTGGAGGTAGTAAAATTCAAAAACGACGGCTTTTCACTGTTATCCTACAGATGGGGACCAGGGAAATGACAGACAGTCGTTTTACGTCTATTACTGATCATATCTTTGTGCTCTATACCTTTGCTTAGTAGACTCTCCTCCCATTTGATCTCAGCTTCGTCTTTCTGTGCCAATTAAGAGGACCATGGGACGGAGTTTGGTGACATGAGTGATAGACTTCGTGCAAAAAAG